ATATATATATATATGAGCAATATCACACGAATAGCAGTGCCATATGGCTCTATATCGGCACTGGTGGGAGGCGTGCGTTGGCACAAAGCCACAGGCCGATTACCTTAGTGCCCCCACCAGTGCCAATATACAGCCATATCGCACTGCTACAAGTGTGATATTGCGTTTATACAACAGTTTGACGGCATAATTGTGTATATAAAAACTAAATCAAACATGGAGAGTCTCAAAAACCCTTTTTTATGAGGAACTACTTTCTTCCGGATTCAAATCATAAGCTGACAGCTTAAACAGTTCAGCGTGCATCTTTTAAACTTTAAATCTGTAGTGTCTGCTTTTTGCTGGCTGTATATGGGCGGAGTAATACACAAAGGGTAAAGAGGCTGTAGGAGTTCTGATATTGCAGAATATCGCTCGGCTATCAGCCAATCAGATTTGAGAACCAGACAGAACTGTTGTATATATATATATATGTATGTATGTATGTATGTATGTATGTATGTATGTATGTATGTATGTATGTATGTATGTATGTATGTATGTATAATAAAGTGGCCAGTGAGTGTATTTGTTTCATTATGTTTAGTAGACTGAATAACTTCCATAGGGTAAGTTCTCACTCAAACTTAAGAAAGATTAGTACCAGTTACCAATAACACCATTACTGGCTATTTCAAGCATGCTATGCAAATCAAAATTTGAATAGTTTAAAAATAGCAGATGCATCTCTCTCCCACATGTCCCGCACTGTCCCACAAAATTGCATCTGCTGTTCTGGGTCACCCTGCCGAAATCTAGATACTTGGGTTATCTGTAAACTTGTAACTGCTCAGATACAATGTCCTGCATTTATCATTTTATAAAGTCTTAATTTATATTCCAGTTGCATGTAGAACAATATGGAAAACAGAAGCAGGGTTTACAGATAGGCCAACAGGGTGTGTAGACGAGAATGACTAGCAGTATATTGTGATTTCCACAGAACTTCCACAGAACGCACAACAAAGCTATTTCCGAATAAAATGTTCATAATAGTCCCACATCAAATATCTGATTTGTTTATATATTTTCAGACCAACACGATGATAAAATGCAAAGCATGCCTTTTCATGTGTGAATCGTGGCTTGCTAAAATGTAATTAAAAACAGATAAAAGTTCATTCTACCTATACGTATAGCCTAAGGCCTTATTTTAGAAATAGGTCAGGCACTGTGTCAGTGCTTCTCTCCACACAGTGAATAGAAGCAGATAACCCATAAAAATGTGCAAGCCTACAATCAGACTGCTGGCCTACATTCACACAGCACAGCAACTCTTCCGCATTAACCCATGTTATACACGCCAGAGTCTTACACGGGCATGAGACATTACCCTTCTATATGGCTGACACTAAATGTTGTCCCATCCATGTGGACCATAAACCCAGCCATTGAGAAGTAAGATGAAAGCACTTTCTCTTTGA